CGAAGGGGAATTCTTGCTTGTTGTGAAGCACGTGGGTAATCGCCGCCGCCGTCGGGTTGCTCATGGCTAATCCCCCGTCAACCGCCACGCACTTGGTTTTCCCGTCGACAGACTTCATACAAACCGGCTCGAACACTCCCGGCTCTGCTGACGTGGCTCTGCAAACCTCCCATAGCCGGAAGTCGAAGCTGTCGGTTTCTAAAGCATCAGCTCTGGAGAACAAAAACGGCGCCGTACTTGAAAGGTCGTAACATGGAATTAAAACCGGTTTCAACGTGTCCTTTAACGTGAGGCTTCGACCGGTTTTATCTACAAAGGCCTCCTTCATCGACTTCTCCAAACCGGCCGTGGCTGAATCGGTCGAACCACCACCGCCTCCGCTGCAGATAATCCGCCTGAGAAAACCGCCGGAATTTGAACCTTTGGTAGGGTAGAATTTTTTGCTTTGTTCCGCTAGAAGCTTCCACGTGTCCTCAGCGTGAAACAAGGGGCGGTTTTGGTCCTTGGTAGAGAAGAGCATGGTGGCGAATATTCCTCCGACGCCTGAACCGGCAGCGACGTCGAAATAATCGGCGATTCTAGCATCTGGATTTCCCGATTTAACCTTCAACGCCTGCTCAAGAGACGCTAAAGCTTTTCCTGATAGGATGCTTCGCATTCCACCACCATCTATGCTGAGGATACAGATTTTACCCCTCTGATTTTTAATTGCCTGAACGCCGTGCCCCTCCCTCACCGGTGATGATGTCAACACAACTTCGTTAACGTTCTTGTGATGTTCAACTGCCGGAGCTATTTGTTTAGGAATCCAAAGCTTCTGATCATCGTAACCAAATAAGAACTTGCTTTCTAGAATAGAGAAAATCTCGTAGCTTAACTTATCTGTATCTATGCTTGGCTCTTGCATATCTGTTAGATGATTACACGCCATTTCTCAACACAACCCCAGTACAAATTAACTTATCCTTGTCAATTTCCCATTAATCAGACAGAAGAAATTTTCATATGTATGAATGGGTCGTTCTTGTTTTTGTAAACATATATATGTAGGCTAGCTTCGTAATCTCCGACTCTCCACTTTAACGTGTGTTTGTGGAAGAGAGGGAGGAGCGGATAAAAAAATTTAATCTGAAAAGTGAAAATGAAGGTTGACCAATAAACGTTTCTTTTTGAGTGTGTATATACTAAGGGAAAAGGCAAAGAGGAATAAAGAAAAGTGGATAGTGGAGATCCTGTATTTCAATATAGAAATATATTTATATAATTAGAAGAAGAAGAAGAAGAAACGTCAAAAGAAGCAGCGGATATCAAAGGAGCAGCAAAAACAAAAACAAATGAAGAAGAAGAAAAGGGGTGGGCAAGTATAACAAAAGAAGACAAAGGAAGTGATGAAGAGGAAGCAACAACATAACATAGCAGTTGCAGAGGATGTCTGTTGGCTTTTAAAAAAAACCTCTCACTCTCCGAGTCGCTATAACCATGGTTTTAGTTTGGATCGGCTTTTTCCTAAAAAAATTAAAAATAAATAAATAAGTCGGTTCTTCAATATTGGAACCAAACCAAATCAATTAAGTCGATTTTTTATCGATTCGGTTTTTGTCGGTTTTTCGATTTTTCGGTTATTTATCGGTTTTTTCTTAAATATGAGACATAAACTACCGAACACATATTCCGGCGACTATATTTTTAACGTAGTGCTATCAAACCAATTGCTCTTTGAGAAATATATTATTTACCAAGATATATTGATGATGATTTAACCAAATAGTGATGAGTAATTTAAGTAATCAATTAAAAAATAATTATTTTTAACATGAAATAAATTGTTGTACTTAGCAACCAAAAAAAACTACCAATCAAACTAGAATGTAAAGGCAAACAATTAGATTATTATAATAGCAAAAAACTAGAGTAAAAATACAAATGGCTAACATGTACCATAAGAATTTAGAAACTTTATATAAAAATATACATATACATAGGTATAACAATAAATATAATAGTTGCTTCTATAGTCGGTTTGGTTCGATCGGGTTTTTTCGGTTATATTTTAATTAAAACCGAAACTAAATCAAATTTGATCGATTTTTAAAATTCAAAATCAAAATCAAACCACACATAAAAAGTATCGATTTTTTGGTTGATTTTGATTCGGTTTTCGATTTGATTTGATTTTTCGGGTTTTTAGGAACACCCGTAACTTTCCCCATACCCCATACCATTCTATTGGCCGTATTTGCGAATACTCCAAATATCCATATTTCTTTCTCTCTTCCCTTGTTATGTTAATATCCCACCACCATTTTTACTTTTTATGGATAAACATATACTTTCTCCCAATGTGTACCCTTGTCCCCCTTTCTTTATTAAAATTGATTTATAGGTTAAATATTTGTATTTAATGTAGGAATATACCCAAGTGAATTGCCTTTTCTTTTAAAAGATGGTGTCCGGATTGAATAGTTTTGTCCACTAAAATTTAAATATATGAGTAAGGGTTAAGAAAATGAGAATAAATTATCTAGTTTTTTTGTCTGTATTTGAATTTTAATAGTTGTCTAGGTTTGCACCTATTTCATTTGTCATTATGATACACCTTGAGTTGCTAAGGAATTTTCTAAGCTTATGGTTTAAAATAAGTAAGTAAGAACATGAGTACATTTGTCAAGAAATAAACTAAACTCACATAAGTAATGTTGGTTACGTGACTCACATAGTAAAATTTCTGTGCATCAATTTTAGGTGGTAACCAAACTATCCTTTTAAAACGTGTGAACAAAATTTGACGACAGGAAATGAAAAATTGGTCAACATTAAAAGAATGAATCCTTAAGCATTTAATTCTATATTAAAGAACTAGATTCAGGTAATAATAATATATCTATGAAAGCTGTAAATTGTAATAACTCATGTTAGGAGGGTTACAACCTACTCAAAATAATACTCCACTTGGCATTTTTGAAAATTCTTACTTCCTTTGTTCACATCTTTTTAATGAACAATAAGCTAAATTGGTCGTTTGACTTTTTTCCTTTCTAAGAAATACTCATGAAATCGTTCAAGTGAACTTTTAATTAATTTTACAAACACCCTCTAAATATGACATTTGGGATAGTAAAACCCCCTAAAGTTTCAATTGGTTATACTTTGAGCCTGTAAAAGTTCCAAATCCCTCACTTATAGAATTAACATTTCTTTCTTTCTGTCTTTCTTTTTTTCTTTCCCTCTTCCTTTGGTGTTTATCTGAATAATTTATTTTATAATCTGCGTCATTGTAAAACTAATTATCAGGTAGAATAATGATTATGAAAAAATAACAAATATTATGAATATATATACCATGGTGCATTATCATGTTTTTGTGCTGCTTTAAGAACTATAACATTCAATCTCTTCTGTTACCATGTGTAAGGAGATGAGAATATGGAAGAAGCCAAGAACACGAAAATAATTATTGCTATGAAATTTTTAATGTTCTGTAAGTAATTATTCCAGAATAGATTATTATAATATTAGATTCTGCACTTATTACACTCTTTTTTATTATAAAATACTAAAAATTTAACATCTTCAGTGACTGTCATTATATTTTTAAGCTAGTTTTATAAATTTATCAAAATTTGGAAAAAAGGTTAATCCGAAGTATCTTATAGAAAAGGCGTTTGGGAATATATGCAAAATTTGACTTTTCATTTGCGTCATTCATTCAAGACCTTTCGACCCAACTGCTAGAACTTGAAGTTGGAAAATGAAATATTATTTATTTTCCTAAACTCGATCTTGCTTTGTATATGAAGAGTAGTCAGGAAAAAATTATGTACCAAAGAAGATCTCTTCACGCATACTTATTAATTATGCTTTTGGTTATCACTGTAGATTGTATACGGGTAAAATCAAGCTCATGGTACACCACAATTTTCGATAAAGTAAAAGGAGCAAGAAACGTAAAGGCAAAGAAACGGAATCGAGGCAAGGAGCCCCTCGATTCGCGGTCTGGGTGAAATGACTGCCCTCGAGAATATCGAGGTCATGGCCCCAGGTCCTGTTCGAACCCCAAAGGCCTCGGGAACATTACCAGACAATCAAGCACGACCAACAGAAGGCCGTGATATCCGCAACCGATCAGATATCACGGTGTGAATCTCGGCGCGTATCGATAGAGAACTGGTGATTAGTTAAACAGAAGATTTTTACCTGTTGGAAACTAAACCAAGATTAATTTGTATTCCTAAGTTGTCTAGGATTTGATATTTGGTAGTTTATTTAATTCATGTCTAGTTAGGTTTTGTTTACCAATTTTATAATGGAATAGGTTTTTGGTTTTGTAGTATTACTAAAAAGTGTGCTACTACTTATTTTTTCTTGTAAAGAGATTCAAGAGTTTATGAGTTGTAAAAAAGCCTCCTACCAAGTTCTCTCCCTAGTTTAATAAACTTCTTCTATATAGCTTTTGCTGAATTTTTGCTTGTGCCTTAATTGTTCTTCGGGGTATTTTAATCCTTCAAATTGGTATCAGAGCATGTGTGAGATTCTGTCAGAGTCGATGGAGATCCAAAAAATTATGGATACTCCATATTTACATGAATGCCAAGTTTTCAAGTTTGATGGCAAAAATAATTTTGAAGACTGGCATCAATATATGAAATATTTTTTTCAATGTTGTTGGATTATGGCCCATTATTGAAACAAGATTTGAGGAACCACCAGAAGTACAATATTGACAGGTCATGCAGCTAAGCAATTAGAGTAAAATAGACAATTAGATTATAAGGCACGTTACTATCTCACCGGCAAGGTTGAATCGCGCGTATCTAACAAACTTTTGCATGCAAAATCAACAAAAGAGGCTTGGACAATCTTGGTGAATTCACATCGAGGTTCCGCCGAAGTAAAAAAAAGTCAAATTGCAAGAGCTAAGGTGACAGTACGAGTTGGCCCAAATAAAATCAACAGAGTCCGTTAAAGAATCCATTACAATAATTACTAATATTGTCAGCGACATGAGGATCAATGGAGAAGCACTAGATGAAGTTAAAGTGGTTGAAAAAATATTGCGGTCCCTGAGTATAAAATTTCACACGAAGAAGCTGCTTCTTGAGGCTACCAAAGATCTTAACACTTTTACACTTGATGATTTAGAAGGTGAATTGGTGACATATGAGATGTCCCGGACTCAAGAAACACCCAAAATAGTGGGGAGGCGTCGCAAGCAAAGGTGAATCAACCTAAAGCAAAAGAAGATACAAGTTATCCTAAAGAAACAAATCAAAGATGCCAGAATTTTAGAGGTAGAGGTCGTGGTAGAAGTAACTTTCGAGGCCGTGATAAAGGTAATTTTTCTTATCAACAAAGAAATAGTAATAATTTTTGGAAGGAACAACAAGGTCATCAAAATTGTCAAAGACGTGATAAATCTAAGATTCAGTGCTATAATTGTGGTAAATTTGGAAATTATGAAAGCGAATGTCAGTCTAATAAATCTGGTAATAAAGAAGTACATGCTAAGATGGCTGAAAATAATGGGGATAAACAAGAGACATAATTGTTTTCTAATTTTGGGGTTGAAGAAACTAAAGTGAATGAATGGTTTATTGATTCAGGTTGCAGCGATCATATAAGTGGAAATAAGAAATTATTCATTGGTCTGGATGAAATATTTAGAGGTACAGTGAGACTTGAAAATAACGCAAAGGTGCCTGCTGTTGGAAAGGGAAAAATTCGCATTACTGTGAAAGATGGTTCTTCTAATTTTATATCAGATGTGTTTTATGTGCAGAGTCTTCATCATAATTTATTGAGCTTGGGGCAACTATCAAAAAAAGGAGTATGATTTGCGTTTTAAGTAAGATTGGAACAGTCAGTGATGATAAATTTGGACTAATTGCAAAGTTTAACATGAACAATAGTTGTTTGTGGCCTCTTTATCTCAATAGTGATGATTTACTTTGCTTTAGTTCTATAAACTGTGATGATACTTGGTTGTGGCATCTACGTCTTGGGAATTTGAATTTTGAGAGTTTGAAATTTCTTGCAAGAAAGAATTTAGTTGATGGTTTGCCTTCTATTAATTTTCCTGACAAGAAGTGTGAGTCGTGTATTTTGGGAAAGAAGCACAGAGAACCTTTTCATAAAGGCAGGCTTGGAGAGCTAATGCACCATTGTAGTTAATTCATTCAGATTTGTGCTCAGTTGAAATTTCTTCTAATGGTGGTAGTAAGTATTTTATTACTTTCATTGATGATTTCAGCCGAAAGACTCGGGTATATTTTTTGAAAAATAAATCTGATGCATGTGATATTTTTAAGAGCTTCAAAATTTATGTGGAGAAGCAAAGTGAGTGTTTTATCAAAATATTGAGGACTGATAGGGGCACTGAATTTCTTGTTTGTGATGATTATTGAAGAAGTATGGTATTAAGCATCAATTGACAGCTAGATATACACCTCAGCAAAATGGTGTGGCTGAAAGATTTGTTGTATAGTGACAGTCTATTTAATATATTTTTTATATATAACAGTCTATTGTATATAAATTGTACAGTTATAGTCTATTTTGTATATTTTTTGTATAGTGATAGTCTTTTTTGTATATTTTTTGTATAGTGACAGTCTTTTTTGTATAGTGACATCTATTTTGTATATTTTTTGTATAGTGACAGTCTATTTTTTATATAAATTATATAGTGACAGTCTATTTTGTATAGTGACAGTCTATTTAGTATATAAATTGTATAGTGACAGTCTATTTTGTATATAAATTGTATAGTGACAGTCTATTTTGTATTTTTTTATAGTGGCGGCCTATTATTTGTATATTTTTTTGTGTAGTGAGAGTTTTTTTTGTTATTGAATGGGTACACGTTTGTAAAACCAGTTATTACATAATTAATGTGATGCATCTTACTGTGATTTTTAATTATTTATTGTTTGTTAGTGTATCTAGGAATTGTAACAAACGGAGATACTCCACGGATCCTATGTTTGAACTTACGTAGTATTATATAAATAAAAATTTCAGTTTCTCAAAAGAAAAAAAAAGGAATATACTCCACAATTCGTAAAAGGAAAGATGCAAAACAAGCAAAAACAAAAAATTGATTTTGTGACAATTGTATATAATTATCGGTGGACAGCTGGAGTTTGTTTCTGAAATATCTACAGACCCCAACAAGACTTCTTTATGATCTCCTCCACCTTCATGTCCGCTGAATCTACCGCCATCCCAATTAAAGCACTAAAGTCGTAAGCTTGATATTTTACACTTATTGTAATGTCGGAGATTCCTAGGTCTCTAATTAGGAAAGTGACCTTCTTATCTTGAAGGTTGGGCTTGTAAGGAGTGGGCCTCAACTAAATGGCTTCAGTCGATTAATAAGAAGTCTAACTGGGCCATCTGATCCAACTGGGCCATCTGACCCAACTGATGAGGTCAATGAAGACTAAGGCCCAATGTCACCCAATTGAATACCCACAGAAGGAGCTGAGGACTCAAGCATACACGGTATAATTCTATTACCCATCTCAACTACCTTCTCTTCTTTCTACTTTTTCTCTCTAAATCCTAACCAACTTTTCTTCTTCTTCTCTTCCCTTTCAGGTACAATTGTTTAGTAGCTATGGTGGATCTAGTCTACTTAGTTTGGTAGATTCATTGTAATATCAATTCCTTTAACAGTGATCAATAAAGCTTGTTTCCTCATTCTTACTTCTTCATTTTTGTTCAATTCTTGAGATAAATTCACTAGTCTATTACAAGTTGGTATCAGAGCAAGTCCTGGCACCATGATAGTACCAAAAACTAGATCTAAGGTTACAGAAGAAAGTGACAAGAAACTGGAGAATCAATTACAAAACTACATGGCAGAAACTAGTAAAAAGTTGGAGTCGAATGACTCTAAAATGGATGAACTAAATCATAAATTTGATCTTCTGATGGACAAGTTCTTCGCAGGCAAGGATGGTATTTTGGGTAGTGCTCCAACAGCTGCTCATACAGTAGAGGGCTCTGGTAGTAGAGGTAGGATGATGGAGAATCATGAGGTTCCTGTGGGGCGATCCTACTCGAACAATTTCAACTCCAAAATTGATTGCCCTTACTTCGAAGAAGGAGATCCAAAAGCTTGGCTGCGAAAATGCGAAAGGTATTTTCATTACAATCATATAATCGATCCACAACATAAACTTGATACTGCTGTGTTGCATTTGAATGGTAGAGCAGAAGAATGGTATTTTTCTTATCAACTAAGTAGGGGTACTGTTAGATGGGGTGAATTTACAGAAGAAATCTGTAAAAGATTTAATGATGCTGATAATAGCAATCTAAATCTGCTAGGGAGGTTTAAAAGGGTAGAGCAAAATGGATCAGTCAATGAATATTTAGAGAGGTTTGAAGATTTGAAGGCATGGGTGTTGATCAAACATCCAACCATACCTGAAGAGTTCTTTCTAGGGTTTTTTATAGAAGGGCTTAAAGAAGAGATTAGGCATACTGTTAAAATGCTTGATCCCTATTCATTAAGTCATGCAGTAGAAAAAGCTAGACACAAGGAAGAATTAATGGAATCAATGAATAAGAAGAAAGGATATGGAGGAAGACAGAACCTACAGCCAAGTACTTATGTTAATACTACAATGAGCAAGCCTTCTAGCTATGTACAGAAGGAGAATAACCAACAGTCTTCAATCTCAGGGACCAAACTCTTTGAAGCAAGAAAAGCTAGGGGAGAATGCTATAAGTGTGGGGAATGATACTTTTCTGGACATGTGTGTAAGAATAAACAACTCAACACATTGTCAGGGACAATAGAACAAGATCAATTAGAGATAGAAGATAAGATAGAGGAAGAGATAGTTCCTGTTGAGAATTCAGAAGCTATCATAGATGAGACAATTAGTCTCAATGCATTATCAGGGACTATAACCTCTACAACTATCAAACTGAAAGGAGTATATGGGAAGCAGGTCTTGATGATCCTAGCTGACAGTGGTAGCACTCACAGCTTCATAGCTAGTAGCACTGCCAAACAGCTGGGATGTGCAATCCAGGAAGTTGTACAAATGAGGGTAGCTGTGGCAAATGGAGGGCATCTAATGAGTTACCACTCTTGCCCTCAATTCAAGTGGAAAACTCAGGGCATTGAATTTGAGCACAAGTTGAGAGTACTGGATATTGGGGGCTGTGATGTAGTCTTGGGGGTGGATTGGATGATAAAACACAACCCCATCCTGTTTGACTTTATTGCATACAAACTACAAGTGAGTGTGAAAGGGAAAAGGGTAGAATTGAAGGGATACTCTGAGGAAGGAAAGCTTCAGAGTATGACAGCCACTGAGGTGAAGCAATTGTTGAAGAAAGGACATGTGTTATGGGCACATTTGTTTACTGTTAATGTACAGACCACAGAATCACCAAGTAGCATACCTGACAAGATTCAGGATATTATAGCTGAGTTCCCAAGAGTGTTTGCTGAACCAAAGTGCCTGCCACCAAGGAGAAACCATGATCATCAGATTCCACTCAAACCTGAAGCAGTACCTATAACTATCAGACCATACAGGTACAATTATTTTCAGAAGAATGAGATAGAAAAGCAGGTTAATGAAATGCTTAATAATGGAATTATACAACCCAGCCACTCCCCATTCTCTTCCCCTGTATTGTTAGTTAAGAAAAAAGATGGAAGTTGGAGGTTTTGCATTGATTATAGAGAATTAAACAAAATGACCATTAAGGACAAGTTCCCAATTCCCTTAGTAGATGACCTTATGGATGAGCTTAATGGTTCTTGCATTTATTCAAAAATTGACTTGAGGGCTAGTTATCACCAAATAAGAATGAAGGAAGGGGACGTCTACAAGACTGCCTTTAGAACACATCTAGGTCACTACGAATTTAGGGTCATGCTCTTTGGCTTGACCAATGCCCCAGCCACTTTCCAAAGCCTCATGAATCAAGTGTTTAAACCCTTCTTGAGGAAGTTTGTATTGGTGTTTTTTGATGATATATTAGTCTACAGTTCTTCAATGGATGCTCATGTACTACATCTCAGAAAAGTACTGGAGATTATACAGAAAGAACAACTTTATGCAAAGATGTCTAAATGTGCTTTTGGACAGGATAAGGTGGAATACTTGGGACATATTATTTCAGGTGAAGGGGTTTCTACCGACCCTGCTAAAATTGAAGCAATGGTAAATTGGCCTGTACCTAAATCTGTGAAGGCCTTAAGGGGATTCCTTGGGCTGACTGGATACTATAGGAGATTTGTCAAATCTTATGGAATTATTAGCAAACCATTAACTAATCTGCTTAAGAAGAATGCCTTTCAGTGGAATGAAGAAGCTGAATCAGCCTTTCAGCAATTAAAAACAGCTATGTCAACAGTACCAGTGCTTGATTTGGCTGATTTCACCAAGCCCTTTGTGGTAGAAACTGATGCATGTGCTACTGGAATGGGTGATGTACTGATGCAAGGAGGTAGACCTATAGCCTTTTTTAGCAAAGCATTAGCACTCAAACACAGGGGATTGTCTACTTATGAAAAAGAGTATATGGCAGTTCTTTCAGCTGTAGATAGGTGGAGACATTACTTACAAGGAGGGCACTTTGTTGTTAAGACTAATCACCAAAGTTTGAAATACCTATTAGAGCAAAAGATAACTACAGCCTTACAACAAAAAGGGCTAACCAAGCTCATGGGCCTTGACTATGAGGTTCAATACAAAAAGGGAAGTGAGAATAGGGTAGCAGATGCTCTCTCAAGGAGACAAGAAGAGGAATCTACTCTATATCCAGCCTACAGGCCAATTGGTTGCAGGACATTGTGGATAGTTATGAAGGAGATCCTACAGCATTGCAACTACTGAGAGAGTTAACCATCAATCCTAGCAGCAGGTAGGACTACACATTACACCAAGGAGTCATCAGGTACAAACAGAAGATTTATGTGGGAAAGGGTACTGATCTAAGGGAAAAGATTTTACAAACTATGCATCATTCTGCTATTGGAGGACATTCAGGGCAGCATGGCACTTATAAGAGATTGCAACTTCTGTTTCATTGGCCAAATATGAAAAAAGAAGTGTGTAAATGGGTAGAGGAGTGTGATGTTTGTCAAAGGGTTAAATCTGAAAATATTCATTCACCAGGCTTCCTGCAGCCACTGCCAATTCCAGACCAGGCATGGCAAGACATATCCATGGATTTTGTGGAGGGACTACCCAATTCTGGGGGAAAAAATGCAGTGCTAGTGGTGATTGATAGATTCACCAAGTATGGTCATTTCTTGGCCATCAAACACCCATTCTCAGCTTCTGAGGTTGCAGATCTATTTCTCAAGGAGGTCTATAGATTACATGGGCTACCTAAAACAATAGTGTCTGATAGGGATCCTATATTCACTAGCCATTTTTGGCGGCTTTTCAAGACTATGAGCACTAAGCTGAACATGAGCACAACCTATCATCCACAGTCAGATGGGCAGACTGATAGGCTAAACAGGTGCATGGAAACTTATCTACACGCAATGGTGTTTGATAATCCTAAGCTATGGACTAAGTGGCTTCACTTGGCGGAGTGGTGGTACAACACCAATTACCATAGTGCACGGAAAATCACCCCTTTTCAAGCACTGTATGGTTATCCACCACCACAATTACCTATGGGATCCTTGCCTAACACAGGCCAATCACCAGCAGGAGTGAGCATAGCTCAACATCAACAAATGTTCCAAACACTGAAGGACAACTTGACACAAGCACAAGCTCGTATGAAATTCTACGCAGATAGGCTAAGGTTAGAAAGAGTACTAGCAGTAGGGGACCAAGTTTACCTAAAGCTACAACCCTATCGATAATCTTCTATTGATGTGCGCAGAAATGTCAAATTGTGTGCCAAATACTATGGTCCATATATTATTGAACAGAAGATAGGATCTGTAGCTTACCACAGCAGTATCACCATGTCATGTCTCCCAGTTGAAGCGTCGCATAGGTCTCCATTGTTCAGCACAACAACCTCCCCTCTGCGATGGAGAAGGAAAAATCTTGATTCAACCAGTCGCTATTCTTCAGAGGAAAATGGTAAAGGTCAATAATGGAGTTGGGGTGAAAGTATTGGTTCAATGGGATAATTTGAGTGAAAATGAAGCATCTTGGGAAGACTGGAGCTATATCAAACATCGATTTCCAGAGTTTGTAGCTCAACTACGACCTTGAGCACAAGGTCTTTCTCGAAGGGGAAGGAGATCTAATGTCGGAGATTCCTAGGTCTCTAATTAGGAAAGTGACCTTCTTATCTTGAAGGTTGGGCTTGTAAGGAGTGGGCCTCAACTAATTGGCTACAGTCGATTAATAAGAAGTCTAACTGGGCCATCTGATCCAACTGGGCCATCTGACCCAACTGAAGAGGTCAATGAAGATTAAGGCCCAATGTCACCCAATTAAATACCCACAGAAGGAGCTAAGGACTCAAGCATACACGGTATAATTCTGTTACCCATCTCAACTACCTTCTCTTCTCTCTACTTTTTCTCTCTAAATCCTAACCAACTTTTCTTCTTCTTCTCTTCCCTTTCAGGTACAATTGTTCAATAGCTATGGTGGATCTAGTCTACTTAGTTTGGTAGATTCATTGTAATATCAATTCCTTTGACAGTGATCAATAAAGCTTGTTTCCTCATTCTTACTTCTTCATTTTTGTTCAATTCTTGAGATAAATTCACTAGTCTATTACACTTATCTTCTTCTTCGGCAAATGGTAAAGCAGTAGCAACTCGAGATCTGCACCGTACTTTGCCACGAGAAGATCACCCTGCTACTTCAGAAGTATATCCAATTCTGCTCCGATCATCTTGTTGATCGTTCTTATTTTGTGGGGATATTTGAAATTCTTGGGGAAAAATAAAAAATTTGTTGAAGAAAAACATAATTTTTCTTGTAAATTTTCCTTACCCCAAAATGAGGAGAAAACAGGGGAAAGAGTAATGACATAGTTAAATCCTCTGTTTGTCAAAATCGGTGGACAGTTATCCATTCTGGCAAACTAGTTCGTCAATTTCGGTGACTAGCCGCTAGAATTACTTTTGGATTATAAAATATATATTATAATTTTTGGCTACCGGGTATTATAAATTTGGCCCAAGTGGCTATAAATAAATTTTGGGATATTTTTAAAAATAGCCAGATTTACAACTGGTCGTTCAAAAATAGCCCAATTTCAAAAGTAATCGAAATTTAGCCACTTTTTATGTAAAGATAAATCTGAGCGAAAACACTGTTCAAAACCCGGAAAATACTCCAGTATATTATGCTGGAGTTCCAGCATAAGTATACTTGAACTCCAGCATATTATACTGGAGTTCCAGGATAGTATGCTGGAACTCCAGCATAATATGATGGAGTTCCAACATAAATACACTAGAACTCCAGCATAATATGATGGAGTTCCAGCATAAATACACTAGAACTCCAGCATAATATACTGGAGTTCCAGCAAGTATAATGGTCCAGTATAATATACTGGAGACTGGGGAACTCCAGCATATTATGCTGGTCCGATCTCTATTGCCGCAAAACGGTGGCTATTTTTCATTGACTTGATAAACGCTGGCTATTTTTGATTAACCAGTCCGAAAACTGGCTATACCGTAAAATTTTGGCATAAATTTTGTTCTATGTCATAGGTATACAGTCCTTTGGGCTCACATCTGAACCAATCCCAAGAAGGAGCCCATTGGACTGAGCTTTAGGACATCAAGGCCAAAAGCCATCGTGTAGCAGAAACAGTAAAACACAAATTCAATAAAGACAACATACATAGGGATTGTTTAAGAGGAAGTGCACAAATACTCGATTTTAGGGCCACTACCTTAAGTTTAAAACTTTTTGTAATTCTACTTATATTGAACATAACTCAGACGTGCTTAACTGAAGTAGCACAATCCGCATATAAAGTTACAAATTTTGTCTGAAGTTGGAGACTTGAGACGAAAACGTATTAAGTACATACAAAAAATTGATTGCACTTTAGAAAAATATGTCTTAAGTGCATACAAAAATTAGTTGCACTTAAGACGAGTGTAATAGTCACTTAAGATTCACTTAAGACGTATGCGTTTGAAGTGCAATAAATGTTTTGCATGCATTTAGGATGTTTTAGTCTGTAGTTCAAATTGCTAATAAAGACAAACTTGTTTTTTGAATTTTAACAATTTAACACACGATTTAGCGCCCAAATCTATTGTTAATGGGGAAATTGACACCGTATGACAATGCACTAATATAATTGATACTTTTTTTGGCCTTAAATTTAATTTGGCAGTAAAAGCCAAAAAAATTTGTATCACGACCCAAATTTCCCTCCGTAAGATGTCGTGATGGCACCTAGTCTTTGGAACTAGGTAAGCCTAATATTTACTGAAATAATAACAATACTCAATAACGACTGACAAATGCGAAGTAGAAATCTCTATACAAGACTTACAAATTCCAAAACCGGTAGTACAAGTCATAAGCTCTACTGAGTCACTGGAAATCCTACAAATTCAACTGTTTCAAAATAGAGATAAAACAGTGCAAGTACAATATCAGAAGGTGACTCCAAAGCTTGCGAACGCAGCAGAAGGTTTACCTTGAGTCTCCACAGCAAGATCCGTACAGTTAGCTAGCGATCGAATGACTCCAAAATACCTGGATCAACACAAATATGTGCAGAAGCATCGTATGAGTACACTACAGTGGTACCCAGTAAGTATCAAGACTAACCTTAGTGAAGTAGTGACGAGGGACAGTTAAGACACCTACTGGACTAGTTAACCTGGACAAGTATAGGTGTAAAACTAACAGAGTACGATATCTCTACAAAACTACGCATAATGACAACAATAATACGGTGCTTGCGATAAGAGATAGAAGCAACAATTAGCAGCGGAGCACAACAAGTAATAACACAGTAGAGTAAGTTGAACACAGTTTAAATCCGGTGAAAACAAATAAAGGAAAGACAAGTAGCAACTCAATAAGAATAACCGCTTTCACACCAGGTTTATCCAATAATCTCCACGATGTACCAAACCTCCAAAATAGTCACCATTCACGAGTCCCAATTCGTGAACCCTAAATACTTGGCATCTTGTGCCCTCCTTAAAACTAGTAATTGCACGGACAACTGACGTGCCAATAGAACCATTCTCACATAGAAGACAAGTAGACGACGGTATGTATGAATGATCAATAACATCAAGATCCATCTTCTTAAGTCGATAGGGGTGATTAATTACGTGTATGCTTGTGCAAGTGTTCTATCACAGTTCAGACCAACGAATAAGAGTAGAGGAAATGAACGGCACATAAGAAACGATCCTCACGATTTGCACAAGGTAAAACTGGAACAAGTTAGGCATGTCACTACACAAATATCAACAACAACAATGCCCCCAGTCTATCACAAATCATTACAAATCAATCCCCGACATATCACACCTTGTCTCACCACATGCGCAATAATAAAGTAAATGCCCGCCTTGTCTCGCCGCACGCACATAGTAATGTTCCCACCTTTTCTCGCCACATGCACAAACACACAGATATAGCCCGCCTTGTCACGCCGCATGTGCATCATCAATAGTAACAATAGCATGGCAGAATCCTCGTGCAAATACCCGAACAAATTTTTCCAACAATATCACGCACCAAGAATACAAAAACACAATAGAACGGCCTTCACAACATGTGCCCATATTCCACAACATTTCCTCTAAATAGTTTCAATACCACAACTGCGCATGGCCCTCGGCTCAACAAACTGAGTACCACAGCAACAACCACAACAATACACGAGGATACGACAAATAAATCTACCAAGAGCT